AGGTGCATACAATACAAAGTTAAAAGCAAGTTGAAGGCGATGAGTAGTGGAACTCATATAGGATATCACAGTTGAATTGATGCCGAAAGCATGGCTAATTCTAGCGTCCTTCCATTAATAGTTTAAGCATATACAGAGGACCATAACACGGGTAAACATTATTGGTAAATTAATAGTAAAAGAATCAAGTGCAAAAACAGAGAATGATATATGCCTTACTGCATATGCTACGATTTTTCTGAGTTTACCGAATTGTCTTTTACATTTTATATGATTTTTTTAACCTTTAATTTCGGTTATTTAATAAATATTTCTAAGTATAAAAAAAATATCATTAAGTCAACGGTTGAAAATTAAAATGGAGCAATCATCCATCTGTGCTTCTTGTTAGATGCTCAATTGGCCCTTAACTTTCTTTCTAATGCATGCACCTTGGGTGAGGGGTGGGGATGGATAAAACCATTTTGTTCTATGCATCGTATTAAGCTTTTTATTTTATATTCTATTAACTAATTAAGCTGTCTTGGGATCATCCAGAGGCATAATATTGATAATAATTTCAAGAACCATTTTTTATTTAAACACACAATAAAAGCTTATATATAAGATCTTATTAAAATTATATAATATTATAAGATTTAATTTATTTATAACATTAAATGCTATTTATTATGTATTTTTGGTCTCGTATTAAAAAATATTATCTTTAATTTTAAAGATGAAATTAAAGAACCAAAAGTGAAAAAAGTATATTTATTAATAAGAATATAAAAATATAATAAGCATTATCTTTCTTTTAGTAACAATTTAATATGCTCAAATGTTTAAAATTAGTCTTTAAAATTTTAATGATCAGATAAAACTTAAATATAGTTTATTGATTTTTTTACTATTTATTAATTTAAATTATATTTTTACTTTATGATTTACCATACCTTTATAGAAATAAAACTCAAATTTTAATTGATAAGTATTACTAAGAGCACTTAAAAATTCATCTAAATTTTATTTTTAATAAAAATTAATAATTTTAAGAGCTTATTTGATAGATGTGATAAAATAACAATAAGTTAAAAAATAAAAAGATAAATTTTGATTTTATTTTAAATTTGATTCGAATCAAAATAAAAAATTAAATAAATTGTATATATCCTATATCCAATCTATTTTTAACCCACACCCTCTACTATAAAATTTATAATAAAAAATAGAATTTATTACGTTGATTAGACGGATACTAAAAAAATATTATCTTATTATATTATATGATTTTATCACGAAAAGGAAATTATAAAGCATGTAACGAGGAATCCAATGAGGAAATGTTTATAATACGGATTTTGGGCTAATATTGGGGGTTGAAGAACGACAATCCAAGTTTCAATATTGTCGTTTATATGTATTACAATTTACACAGATAATATTAAGTTATGAGTAAAATATGGTAATTATGATATGGTCTCACCGTCTCAGAACATGTGCTCATCACGCCGGTTCAAACCTTGTGTCGGCAGTGCATGGGCATCCATGTTAATTCTCCCCTTGGTTAAACGACCAAAAAGACAAAACTACCCCAAGATTAACACGCTAATTAATCGTTATGGAATAAAGAAAATTATACTAGTGGTTTAATTAGCATTTACTTTTAGTGATATGTTTAAACAGATTTTATTATAAAAAATTGCTAACAAATACTTTGAGATATTAGTTAAAGATTAAAATATTATTTTATTAAAAATGTTAAAATGCACTTTCTTTGATGATTTTTAATTTATCTTAATGTTATTTTTAATTATTTATTTATTAAATTTTAACTGAATATCCTTGTCACGTTGATTAACAGATTCTTAATTTACACTAATTGGGCATGGCCCATTTTCTTTGGTTGTTAATTAATTTTTTATCTTTCACTTTTGAAGATACTTTTTATTTTTATCTTTCCATCTTGTTAACTAAGGATACTTACAAACTGATCCAATCTAATGTGAAATAAAAAAAAACAATTAAAAAATAAACAAATAAAAAACTAAAAAAATACAAAATTTATCCATTGCCATTAAATTTTAAATCTCATTTTAAAAATTGATCAAAATCAATCCAAATCAAATTTATATACGTGTATACATAATTTTATTTATAAAATTAATATTACATTCATACTTATAAAAGTATATATACTCATTGTTTACGATTATCGTTTTCAAAAAGGATATTATTATTATTATTTTAAAAATATGTTTTTTTGTTTCAATGTATTCATAACTATATATTTTAGATTTATTTTATTTTTATATACTTTTTTTCATATTTTATATAAAAAATAACTGTACTTAAAAATAGTATAATAGAAATATAAAAGAATTTATTTATCACCTTTTAATTAAGTAAAAGTATATTTATATAAGCTGAATTTGATTGAATTATATTAATTTTTTTAAATTAGATTGAATAATTTTTATTGATTAAAGAATCAACAAAAATACTTTTTTTATTAAAAAAACACGTTGAAATACATTGAAAATATGTATGTAATTTTTTTTTTACTTTTCTTAACAAAAATTTATTTTAGATTCAGTAACTAATACTCGCAGGACGCTGATTAATATTTTTAAAGTTTAAGACAATATTAATTATTTTTTTAAAGATAAACTTGGCTTAAAAAATAATTGATTAATAAGGGAGATAAAATAAGTATGGTAAGATATTATATAATAATTTTATTAAAAATGATCATATTAAAATTGTGACGTTATTATTTTAAGTGATTGTGTAACATTTAAATTTTTTAAATCTTGAACATGTATATATAATTGTTTTATCTAGATTGACTCATCTTATTTTATATACAAACATTTTTTTAATTTAAATAAAAATACAGAATACATGAAAAGATTTTCATAAATTTTGTTGAAATACGTTTCATAAACATACTTGGAAGCAGAAAAAATAAAAAATGGGAAAATAACGTAAAAGGAGAGTTGGAAAGGGGAATATACGAGAAAGAGGGTAAGGACAAGAAAGAAGGCATGGAAGTGTGATGTGTGTGTGTGCGCGCGCGCTATGCTACAAAGGAAAAACACGCCACCTACGACAAAGATTTGGGAGTACGGTCGAGACAAACAAAATCCCTATGGCTACCTATGCATACCTATATACCTTGTTTGTTACCATTCCTACATTCCTTGATATTTGATATTCTCATTACACATTACTATATCAATTCATTGTTTTATTCTTTCCAAGCCTCTCATCAGGCATTCATACCTCCAAATTTAACCCTTTTGTTTTGTTTGTTTCTTTGTTGGTAACATCAAAATGCGGTTTAAGGGAATGTTTGTCCGCAATATATAAAATTAATAGTTATATTAACTATTTTTCAGATGTGTGATCACTAGTGTTAGTGTACCCATGCCCATCATCGGTTTATATTGATAGTTGATTTGCTTTGTTTAGAATATATGATCAAGATGCTCATGGCAACTATAGTTTTTGCAACGTGTGTGTGTACGGCCTAGGGCATAACCTTTTTTTTTTTTTAAATGGGGGTAATCTTAGGAGTGGACGATTATACCCCTCGTAGTAAACAAATTTATTAAAATAAAAATATATTTAATTATTAGAGACAGAAAGAAAACAGACTTGCTTTCGCTACAAGAAGTTTTCATTTACTAAATTATACATATCGGGATAATAAATTATTTTGTTAATATAATTATTTACAATCTATATTAACAATTTATTTTGTTAGATAAAAACTATACTAATAAAGAATATGTTATTACTTAATCTTTTTTATTTGTTTATAAATAACATTGTTTAAGCCCATACCTCATACCTTCCATACTTGAAACTCCAAAACCTTTGGCGGATACGCTTAGATTGAACTGCGTTGGGTTGCCATTGTACATTGATATCAAAAACGTTATTTTGTTCCAAATGCCTAAAAAATTTAAAGTAAAAGAAAGAAATTTCATATAAAAAATGCAATTATATATATATGTGGATTGAAAATATTACAGTTGGTTTTATTGCAATTTTGATTTAAAAATAAATTATTTTAAACATAAATCACTTTACTTTAAAATTATTTTTAACTAAAATCAACTTTATAAAATTAAATTTCTTCGAATCAAGTTTTCATAAACGTTTTTCTAAACATACAATGCTACTATATAAGATTGATGATGCTAATGCCTTAAATTTGGTTTATTTGTTAACTTGTGTCATAATTTTGAAGGGTTAATTAAGAGACGAAATACACTGAATTATATATATGTTTACTCTTGAAGGTTCTATCAAATAGTGTATAAATTATAGAATCGTTAAACAAGCAATTTTCGTTGACTGATGTATAAAATTTATAACGCATCATACGTGCAATCGAGCAACATGGCATGCAGAAGAAGAAAACGGAAAGAGGACTAATTGTCAAGGGAAGTTGAATCCTTCAGGCAATTAATGTTGTTCCAATAAGTTGATATAGAATAATAGTGGCGTATTTGGTTCATAGATTTTGTCTTGTAATTTAATTTTCTACTTACAAAACAAAGGATACGGCACTATTAAATGTATATGAGTGGAGTCCTAATTCATTGATAATTAGCTGTAACCCTTTTTTGTCTACAGAGAAAGATTAGCTGTAATCTTTAACCTTTTGATACGAAAATATACATAAGACACGGACTAATTATCCCATTGACAAGTGCTTAATGAAATGGGATAAGTAATGAATGCCCATCGAGTCACGGATAAGAAGGTGTAAGTGTTTAGGTTGGATAAGTCAAATTAATTTTCCCAAATTTTAGACGTCTCATCTATTAAAAGGTTTTGCAATGTACAAGTCTCAAAAACACGCCACGTGGGAGATATGATACAAAAATCGTGCACTCGAGAGTGGCTATGGTTAGACGCATATATTGGTTTTCTTAATTATGGGAATTGCTACCACCTTTTCTGTCCCACTTTAAGATAAAGCAAAAGCAAGCTAAGGGAAATAGAAAAGCAAAGGAAGAAAAGAAAAACATGAAAGGAAGAAAGAAAAGAAAAGAAAAGAAAAGCAATAAAGAAAGGAAAGAAAAGAGAGGAAACAAAGACAAAAGGTTCTCAAAACTCCATGATTATTCAAATTCTCTCAAAAACAGTACCAAGTAATAGTAGTGTTCCCCCTACTTAATTAAACCATAGGGGAGGACCTCTCAAAGTTTCTACAAAGACCCTGTTTGGGCTGGATTGGAACAACATCAAGAAAGAGAAAGAAAAGTTTCTTTTTTCTTTTCTTTTGTAGAGAGATCTATCAAAGAAAGAAGGCATGAATAGAGGTGTCTTGCAAAGCTCACCGGTGCAACAAATGATGGCCGGGAACCCTAACAACTGGTGGAACATCAACACCATGCGCCCTCCTCTTCCTCAAGCTTCTCCTTTCTTGTCCACTCCTTCCAATTTTCTATATACCCCCTCTTCTTCTCTTCCTTTTCCTTCTTGGCATGATCAGAATCAAGACCTACCCGAGTCATGGAGCCAGCTTCTCATGTAATAACTCTTTCTCTCTCTCACACACACGCCCACATTAGACAGCTATTAAAATCGAATAATTATTTTTTTAAAATAAATCAAACAAAGTAACATACTTAGTACTGTTTGGTTTAAGTAAATTTGAAGAAACAATACCTTAGTTATTTTATCAATTTTAAAAAATAATTATTTCTCCAAATTTAAACGTTTTCAAACATACACTATGATTTTTTGAAGGATCTAATCTAATTATTTATTTATTTGTTAATTTTTTGTTATGGTTTTGGAAATAGGAATGGGCTGGTGTCTGAAGAAGACAAAGGAGGTATGTGCCAGGTTCAGTCTAAGAGGTTGGAGAACTGGGAGGAACAAATGTTAAGTCAAGCTCCAAGTGCTCCTCTTGTTGATGTTAAGCAAGAAAGCTCGGTGCACAGCTATGTATATGGACATGGAAACGAAGATTTTCAGGCAGCAAAACCAACTTGGTCTCAAATAGTGCCTGCTTCTTCTACAAAATCCTGTGTAACAAGTTTCAGTAGCAGCATGTTGGATTTCTCTAACAATAAGACGGATGCTAGGCCTCCTCCTCCGGATCCATCTTCAGAGGTACAATAAGAAAGATATATAATACATATTAATTAAGTGAGAGAATCTACAATTTTGTAAATTTGTTTTGTTTTTTATATTCTAAATTTGTTATATTTTCTTTTCTTGGTTTTGATACGAGTACTTGCACATATTTGATTTTCGTGAAACTTTACTAATTAAATTAACTATTGAAAACTTTAAATTTGGCCACCCAAATGCTTTCGTTTTGAAAAATAGTTGCAAACTTTATTTTCTAGTAAATATATATTTGCCAAAGGCAAGGAGGGTCCTCCAACTTTTCATTTTTAATTGAATATATAATATAAAACGTTTCTTCTATTCTCCCTTTATTGTAGATCAAAAGATGGTTTCCTTTGTTTCTCTTTATCTTCTTTAAATCAGATAGAACGCTAGTATTTACCTGACCGCGTTAATATTTTGTTTAGATGACGAAACCTCACGCAATAAGAACTAATTCTATTTTCCTTGTGGTATCTTTGTTATTTTTGCACTATAATTTTAATGAGATTATATTTTTTCCCTTTTCAAGTGCAATAGCACTGCAGTTGGTGGGGCATTCAAGAAAGCTAGGGTTCAACCGTCTACAACTCAGTCGAACTTCAAGGTATTCTCATCAATTGCAAAAAACTAGACAGAAACTTCCAACCCCGAACCCTCTTTTAGGCAAACCAACACATATAACCACACACAAACATCACATGTGTGTGGGTGTCACTGTTGTCTTTCTTGATTGTCTTGTTCCTAAAAATGATTTTTTTTAAAATCCATCTTCTTCTTCTCATTTGTATCTCGAAATGAAGAATCAACATAAGCCAACATATTAAGCATGCATGTACTTGTCCGACACAGTAGTTATTTGAGATCTTCTTCTCCATTTCAGGTTAGGAAGGAGAAGTTAGGTGACAGAATTACAGCCCTCCATCAACTCGTTTCCCCATTTGGAAAGGTATACAAGCTTAGTTAACTTAATCAATTGAAGACTCACATAAACTAATTAATTTATGTCAAAAATTAAATTAAAAAAAAAGTGTCAAATATCTTCATAGAAAATCTAAATCGTTTCCCTAGCTCCTAATATAAAATCATCTTCCCCATCCTCTCCCCTCTTTCTTTAATATTTTTTTACATATAAACTTTTAGAGAAAAAAAAAATGCTCGAAATGTGTTTAGCATTGCATGGAACAGATGAGTGGGAATATGACTGTAGTGTGTGGTGGTATTTTTTCACTTTTGCAGACTGACACGGCATCTGTCTTGTTAGAAGCTATTGGGTATATTAGATTCCTTCAGAGTCAAATTGAGGTAATTAATGTTTGTTCTCCTCTGTTTATTCTTCCAAACAACCACGAGTCAGTAAATAGTGATGGCACGCTGGCTGTTAAAAGTCCATTATTTCACACACACACACACACACACACACACACACACACATATATATATATATATATATATATATATATATTCATATCCTTTAGTTTTTAAAGTTCTAAAAATATTGTCTTTTTCCCCGTGGATTCAGGCCCTTAGCTTACCATATTTGGGCAGTGGAACAGGAAACATGAGGCACCATCAATCTGTAAGAAATAATATCAACCCATTTCTGGTTAGGACACAAGACATACATAAAGACTTTTCTCATTTCCCAAAGCAATAAGAAACAATAATCACTATCTCTTCCTCTAGCTTCTTTCTTCTTGCATGTGCGCCAGCATGTATACTAATTAATGGATAATTATGCGGTACTAATTGAGTGATGATTGTAATTATTTAATGTTAGGTTCAAGGAGAGAAGAATTGTATATTCCCTGAAGACCCTGGTCAGGTATGCTTTTTCCTGGGATCCATTAACCCTTTAAAGGGGTTTGGGGATTTTGCATTTGAAAAAGAAGATTATAGCTACCCAGTTCAATTACTTGCATTCTATTATTAAATGAAGAAAGTAGACAATTAAAGAGAAGTGTCACCAGCTTTTTCAGATATAATAATAATATAGTATATTCTAAGATGAATAAAACAAAAGTGGCTTCTTTTTAGTGCATTAATTACTAATGTAGTTGAAATACTTATCAAATTCTCATTTCATTTTATTTAATTTCTGGTTATAGCTGCTGAATGAAAACTGTTTGAAGAGGAAAGCAACTAGTGAGCAGGTAATTGTTCAGCAATTGTTTCCTTCTTAAATAATGATTAAACTAATTCAATAACATATATTTGGATGAATTAATTAATTAGGATTCTCAAGAAGAAACAAAGAAGGACCTGAGGAGTAGAGGGTTGTGTCTGGTTCCAGTGTCATGCACGCTGCAAGTTGGAAGTGATAATGGAGCTGACTATTGGGCTCCTGCTTTTGGCGGGGGATTTCGGTAGATGGAGTTAATTTATTGCGTTAGCATATAATATATGTGGCAACATACAAAGAGGCAAGTTCATGGAAATTGTACAACATCATTAGCAGTCAATCTGCTACAAAACCTAAGGCTGATTGCTCATGATGCTATACGGCATTCCTGAATAAAATGTATGCTGCCAGGCAAGTAGTATATATATATTTGCAAGCCCTTGTTAAGACTCCTTAATTCATGGAAATCAAGCTTTTATTTATTTTCATTAGCTTAATTAATAGGACGTACGATGTTAAATTTCCATGTATATATGCAATAATTGTATGATTAATTTGAATTCTACTTCTTTCGAAGTAATTGAACAAGATCAGGCAAGCTATTACTACGAAGAGGTACCATTTAAGCTTTTAAAAATAAGTTTATATATTGCCCATTTGGTGCATTAAGAGGATACGTTGGAAAGATAAACAAAACACGACACCGAGCTAGTTGTTCGGCGAGAGTTTGATACTGTAGTATATTAAATATATGATTCAATAAGATTAAAGAAAATATTTATCATTAGTGTGATACTAATTCTAATACTAAAGCTTTTGGGACTCTTAAGCAGGGTCAGCAGAAACTTCACCCTTTTGTTCCTGGATATCATGGGTTTGCCCAGTGTATTAATTCTTGTAACATGGATGAATAGACGTAAAAAAGTGTTCACACTTGGCATAGACGCGCACCGACAGAGTCCAACACGCATGCAGGCTTGTGTCGCATGCGTGTGTTAAATATATAGTTATACCCTTTCTTTAGTTATATCAGTCACCGAGTTCTATTAGAATAAATAACCCTAACTTGGCTAGCTAGGGCAACCCACGCGTTCTTACGTCGATGTTCTTCAGCAAAGACGTTGCCAATGCCAACATATGTTTATTCCACTTTATTTTTGGGTGGAGAGATCTTTTTTTCTAGCCATAACATTAAATATTTATGACAAATTAGATAGCTTTAACCTTAAATAGTTCTTAGATAATTAACTTGTTACTACTAGAGCGTAGTTTCGTTAAGGACAATTTCATTAGACAAGTAAGATTATATTTAGCTTCAACAATTAATGTTTTTCAATATCTCTTTATCTTAATGTAGAATTAATCTTAGGTAAATTCTACGGTACCCATATAAAATTTTTAGATTACCGTACATGAAAAATTTTAATCAATAATGTTTAGATATGTATTTAAAATAATATATTTATTTAATAATAAATTATTATATTTGTTATATTTAAATAAGTTGAAGAGTGTTTAAATTAAAATTAAATAAATTAAAATTTAAAAATAAAATAATAACATTATATTAATATATTTTTTATAATTTTTTTATTTATAATAAATAGAAATTATTTAAATATAAATTATATTTTTTTCAAAACTAAAAATTTATAAAAAATAAAATAAAAAATTTAATAAACAATATATATATCTATAATAGAATTATATAATAAATAATATAAATAATATAATTTTAAATAAATTATATATAAATAATATTTTTTAATTTATCACGTATATCTTTTTTATTAATATAAATATTTTGAATACGATACCTATAAAAAAAAATTTAGGACACTACAGCATATACTTTAATTTTAAATGGCAGTCATTTAAAAATGGATAAACACTATTTTACTAAAGAGCAAAATTTTTTTTATCATGACTTAGTCTTTAATTAAGGGTATTCTAGGTATATTTAAAATTATTTTTTTTTATAAAAATAATGACGGATGTTAACTTTGGTAAAATAGAAAAAACATGGTATTAATTTAAATTACAAAATAAATTTATTATCAACTGTTTTAAAATTATATATTAAAATATGTAAATTTATGATTATAAATTTCTTTATTACTTTATTAAATTAATTAGAAAGGGATAAACATACGATAATTAAGTAAATATTCAAAATAAAAAAATTGAATATGTAAAAATTAATTTGGTCGTAGTTAATTATATTTATTTATTATTTCAAGAAACTACTTCATATGATTACTAAAAAATGGTTAGACATAAATTAATCACTTTTATGAAAAAAAATATTTTATTGGTAAATATACAGTAAATATCTTAACATTCAATATATAATTAATAAAATTTAAATTGATAAATATGGTTCATACGAAAGTGATTTTTTTCATTGTAACTGAAAAAAAATATCCTTTTGATTGAAGTTAATATCCATCGTTCTGCTTTTTCGTTAAATCTAATGATTTTAAGTTCTAATATATTCCTACAAATGTCATTGGATAAAGAAATTTTAGTTCTTGTTTAAAATTAAGTATAAAATTATTAAGCTTAACGTGAAGATATAAAATTTAGCAGTCAATTAGTGTGTGTTAAAATATATAAAAAATATCGATATAAAAAAAAAATTTATCCCTGTTTTATTAGTTTACTCCTCATAAATTTTAAAAATTTTAAAATAGTTTACGTCATTACATAATTGCGAATGCGTATAATCATGCTTTATTTGTGATTATTTTCAGATAATACGTAATGTAATATCTTTATACAAATATTATATCATAAAAAATATTAATAAATATTTAAAAAAAAACCGATAAAAAATTTAGAAGAAAAAAACAAAATTTAACAACTTTTATAAAAATTTAAAACATACTGCACTAGTATAAAAACATAATTGATATAATTTCCGTTCTATACATGAACTTATGCCGATCAAAACTCCAACATATAAACAAAGTCACTTAAATTTTAATAATAATAATAATAAAGCATTTAAGATACTTTCTTCTTGTTCTGCTCCAAGGATATCACACACACTCTACTCATAAGGTAATCAATCTAAGTCGAGTGAATATTTCACAGGTTTGGAACACGAATGAAAAAACCTTAACTATGATTTACCATAACTATATGTTTAGTGATAAACCCTAAGTTTGAAGAGAAGGAGTTAGGTAGCTAACTAGGTTTTTATTCTTGACCTAAGGAGGGATTAGAGTTTGTTCTTTACTTTTTTTGAAACTTTAGAACAAGCTTTTGAGTAATAAAGGCGATTTAGCTTATTTCTTTATCTAAATGTAAGTTTAAACTCTAATCTTAACAACAAACTAAAACTTTGTTGACACTCTTATTTCATAAGGACAATTTTGAGTTTTATATTTGGAGATATCTTTTTATTATAGATATTGTAAAGTGTATTCCAGCACTCTTTAAAAGCCATACAATGAATTTCATTGATGTATAATAAGGGTCCTCCCAAGTGCTTTCATCCTCTTACTGAAGAATTGGGTAATGCCATATAATAACAGTTATATGAAATTTATTTTAAAAATATAAAAAAGAAAATTAATGAATTAAAATTAAAGGCCAACTTAGGAGAAAAATTGAAATGTCAAATAATATAAAAATTAAATTTTAATTTCTATATTTTCATAACACTTTTTTAATGCATCTCTCAATTTAATTAGTCAATATATTTTATATTTTTCTTGTCTAAACTTAAATATTAAAGTATTTGATTTAACTATATTTATTGAAATTTAAAATCAAAATTTAAAATTAAATTAAAATAATAACTTCTTACTATAAAATTTATAAAAATAAGAAATGAGAATAATATTTGCTTATTTTATAAAACTTAATGCAAAAAGTGTGTGCCGTACACTGTCGTCTTTAGTTTTTCCGTTAACTCTCTCCTGGGAGAGTATCTTCCTATTTTTATTTTCTTTTTTTTTTTGGCATTTTTATTTACTTGGTTAGTGTTTGTAAAATAATCTCTGTTTTTTTTATGTCCCTAATTTTTACTCTTATTCTATATTTCTCTCTGCGAATCTTGCTACATTGCCTATCGAATTTTGGTTGTGTATAAACAATAAACTTTGTTGACACAAAGATATATATTATAAAGTTAATTCTAAAATTTATTAAAATACAACAATAACTAAATTTTATTTTATTAAGTAAGACCAGTTACATGAATTACACGATATTATTAAAATTAATTAAAAATTAATTTTTTAAAAATTTAATTAAATAAAATATTTTATTTAATAAATTCTTCTAAGTTCTTTTGAGTTTTTTTAATTCTTTTTTATCAGATTAAAAATTATATAATTTATTTTTCTTATTTATACTTTTAAAAGTTTTTTTACACGTAAACGAACTATCTTAAACGATTTTTATTTATTTTTTATAATTTAAGTATTATTTTAATATATTTTTATATTATCATTTTATATCATTTTTTTTATGTCCACTTATTTACTTAAACATTTTTATTTTTATTATTCTAACTTTTGTTTAGTGTTATTCTTTTAAGATTTAATATTTATTGTGATATAAACAATATTTTAATAATTGTACTAAGCACACTTTTGTGTTAATAAACTAAAAAAATTTATTTTTATATCAATTACTTTGATACTCTTTCAAATGTTCCATTATTATTTCTTGTCAGATAACATTTTCCTTAGACTGTTAATTTCATTTCATGCATCATTTGGACCTTGAAAAAGGTTTATATCAAGACAATATGGACGATGACTTGGTAGGTTGGGAGTCTATTTGGTTACAGAAAAGATAAAAAAAAAAAAAATTTCAATAGAAATTAAGCAATTGGATTTTGGATAGGGTGATAGAACTCATTAAGATCATATCTTGTTTGTGTTTAACTTCAAAGTATGAGAAAACCTTTATGTAATATTGATCATTATACTAAGGGATAGAGTCTTCCCTTCTGTTTCTGTATCTTTGATAATTCGTATTACCCTTTTCTGATTAAAAAATATGATTAAAAGACCGTCTGCTTCTGTTGTTTTGTCTTGGTTATCTTTTTATGAAATAATTTCCAAGGGTCTATTCATGGTCTCTATATTGGGACTTAGTTTTTAGGCATTAGATATTTGATTTGTCTCACATAGATTCAAAATATATAATGCAAGAGTGTAAGTTTATGAAGGAAACAAATGTTACATATATATAGTTACTGCTACCAAAACTCCAATATGCTGACACATTTACAAACCTCCATATATGTAGAGCTGAATCAATACTTCTGTGTAAAACTCAAAAGGAAAGCTCTAATGAGGCAACCTGAATTGCAGAAATTAAAGAAGTTGAGATGTACATTTGTGTCGATAGTACCTTTTATTTTAAATAAAATTCAAAAACCAGGTTTTATTATTTTGATATCAATATGCTGCACCTTATTTTTCATGACTATTGTAATAAAGAAAATGTTACATAGGCACTCCTTGGGTGTTTAAATAATGTGATTTAATAAAAAAAAACATTGAACGAGTGGTGATATTGTTTAAATATTTATAAATAATTATTATTATGATAAACAATTTCTCTAATGGCCATTGAT